ACGAAAGCTTTAAATCTAGAATTTACCGAAAGAATCAAAGAAGATGAATCCTTGGCAGTGACGAAAGCTTAAATCCATTTCAATACCCTCTCCCACCCCGTATCAAGTTTCCCCTGCGCGCACGATTTTTCATCCTGCACGTCCACTCCGTAAATCGTCGCAGTGACGTCACGTTTGTTTTACGGAATTTTTTTTAAATTGTGAACGGCGGGACTCCCCCCCCGTTTTCATTTTCTTTTCTTTTGTATTCATCTCAAGTAAATAAACGCTTCGGCTTGTGGTCGGACATTTATTTTTTCTGGAAGAATTAAGCCAGCCGGTCGGCGTTCGGCTTTGGGCGGGGATGCCGACGTGTTTCAATTTCGAATTTTGATATGACCTAAAGCTGTTGTAATTGCCGCAAATCAATCGGAGCTGTTGAACCGAACGTTTAGGGAAAACCCCACGTGGGATCAGTATAAAATTGCTGAATGTTCAGTGTGAGCTGCGTTGCCTTATTTTATTCAGGGGCGATTTATAGCCACGTGTCCGTATACGTTAGAGTTCACCTCTTGTATAATAATGGTGTTCATGAACATTTATATGCCCTACATCGGTTTTCAATTCGCTCATCGCAAAACAAGACGGATGTCGATCGGGCTCTGTGGCCTCCATCGGTGCTGCGGGTAGCCTCTCGTGTCGGATCTTATTCGCCGGGGAGGTCATTCGCTGGCAGGTCTCATCACTGCTCAATGCCCAAAGTTTTGGCTTTCAAATGTCGAGAGGTTCACCGTGGCTCATGCCATCGACGGCCACCACACACCTTGAAGCACTTCCTTCCGCCTGCCGGATCCCACAGCCACCTCATTACCATCCACGGTCCGCTCTCGGGGGCCATCCCAGTCGTCCTCCCGGAGTCTTCCCCGTGGTTTTCCGACTCAAAAGAGTTTGTCCCACTCTTGAGGCCTGCCAATCAACCTGCCACCCTCCATCCCACACCATTTAACCCCGCCAAAATCCCTCCACTCCTCTCCCACGCTCATTACCTCGCCGGCCTTGTTTTCATTTCAAACCTTCTGAGCTTGCTTACGGCCATCCCGCTCGAGACATTCGGCGCGCATCCGCGGAATGAATTGTGCCGGTGGTGCGCAAAGTGTGGTGGTTGTTACCTTTCTCGTCGTTGGTGAGAGTCTTGATCTCGCGACACGTACGGCAGGGCCAAAAAAAAACAATTAAAGCTTCCCGCCTCAAACAGTCCGCACGGCGATTGGCTCAACATCCGCGCGAGGTTTTTTGGGTTTCTTGAAAAGCTGCGTGAAGTTAGAATTTGCGAATCTGGTTAGGCTGTTTTAACGCGTAGGCTCTCGCGACAATATTCTCCATAGTAAAGGTTTTGTTTTTTTTAGTTAGTTAGTTAGGTCGCGTAAAATATAAACGTGCCGTGAAGGCCGTCACCGCTCGACACAGCCGATTGGTAAAGGTTTCCAACGTGCTCTTTGTTTTTTTTTTTAGGTAAAGTCACGTAGGTAAAAAAAAAATTAAATGAAAAACGACTAAATTAATCACGACGTTTCGGAGGCAACACAAGCATCCGTCTTCAGGTGGAACCGTCACAGCAAAATTAGTAAAATTACTGTACGATACAGTAAAATTACTGCACGATACAGTAAAATTACTGTATCGTACAGTAAAATTACTGCATGATACAGTAAAATTACTGTGACTGTTCTACCTGAAGACGGAAGCTTGTGTTGCCTCCGAAACGTCATGATTTAATTTAGTTGATTTTTCATTTATTTTATTTTACCTACGTGACTTTACCGAAAAAAAACAAAGAGTATGAATTCCTTGCAGTACACGAAAACTTAAAATCTAGAATTAGTTTGTAAACGTAAACAAAACGTGCCATTTCAGCACACCGGCGTGCTGGAGAGTAAACCCACGACATTTACAATTTGAGTTCGACGTTTCGCCGTGATTGTTTTTAAGTGACAAAACCTTACTATTTGGCTGTGTCGGGTGGTGGCGGGATTAACGACACACATTTATATTTATGCGATCTAACCCCCCAAAAAATCCTGGATTACGTAGATGGGATGTTTATATTCGGTTCCTGTGCCCAACTTAAACATACAGGAGGAGAATGTGAAAATATTTCGTAACATTGAATCCTGTACTGTATAAAAAAATAACGTTCGTACACTTACATAATTTGTGCAATAATGCAAATCGATAATAACACAAAAGGTACACCAAAATAGAATAATATTATAAAACATCCGTAAATTATACTGTCAATTTTTATTTTACCCTTGGATGATGATGGTGATGGTGATGACGGTCTATCCAACTGCTCTACTATTTGAGCCAAACTCATCACTTTTTTTCCCGTACGTACGTACGTACGTTGAACTTCCTTCGCACCGTACGTAGTCAACCGTGATAATCGGTGGTGCGGGGGGGGGGGGGGGAAGGACAACAAACAGCTCCGTCGGCTTCCTAATATCGGAAGGAAGAAACGTTCCAGACGACCACAGAAGCGCATCAGAAGGCGCGCGATGCGGTGACCCACCGCCTTCGCTTGATTGCGGGAGTTTTTGCGCGATGACGTTTCCACGTTCCTTGACGAGATCAGCGAGGTATTGTGGCTCATTTGTTGGCAAGCGCTCTCCGTGTGTGTGTGTGTAGTGTAAATGAGCGCGACCCGGTTAACGCGTTCGTTCGGCAAACGCACGCCAATGTGGGCTCTGCGAGGTTTTACGCGGTCGGATCTTGCGGCGCCCCGTCCACTTGCAACGCGCCGAAGAATTACGGACACACTGCAGCTTTTGCTCTCGCTGCCACTTCCTCCACTCGCTTGAGGGCTTAGATCCCACCACCACCACCACCAACCCACCACCACCCCCCCCCTGAATGATCGAAGGAATAAAAAAAAGAGACACCGCGAACGCATTGGCAAGTACCGCTGCCCCTACGACGGCGCGTTGCCAAATCGCGGGCAAGTCGAGGGGTTAAAACCCAAAGAGCTTGCGGGGGAAGTCGAAGCGGCATGCGATTGTGACATCGGCCACGATAGAATTTTCACGGCAAAAAAAATGAACGTGAAGAGTGTGTTTTTGTGACAATATCTTAACACTGAATGACGTCGATTGTCATTCAGAGGTGGTGGTGGTGGTGGAGGAGGGGGGGGGTTTTCTTCGTGCTCCTAAAAAAAACCTCTCGTGCTGCCACTGCCCTGCCAATGCCGGCCTCCCTCATTCAACATCCTCTGAGGCGAGCACCATCTGCCTCTCTGCTCGGCCGTGGATTCTTTAACTTAACCCTACTTTCGCGTTACCGAGACGTCGCCGCAGGTTTTGCCGGGGCGTGGGTGGGTGCCCCGTTCGCCGCTGAGTCTCGGGAACGCGCGAGCGTTTCGACGTTAATCGTATTTTTGTTAGAGAAGCACAGCGTCGTTATTTTTTGTTTTTTAAGTACCGTGTTTTGCTCGCCCGCAGAGAACCGTAGCGACACGGATCCGCACTCTACGATAGCTGGCGCCGAACTGCGCCGCACGCCCTCGGTACGTCTTGAGGTCACAAGACGTTTCCGATACAGTTATTTTATTTTAGCTTTTCTTCCGATTGCGTTCTGATGACGCACGTTCCGATTACGTCCACTTACGTCATCGGAAACGGAATCTGAAGAGTAACTAAAATGACGTACGTCATCGGGATGGGAAAGGGTTAACGTGATTGCAAATCCCCATCCAAAGCTTATCACATCTGCTAGTCCAGGCGGTTCCCAACGTGCGTTTGGTCAGGATATTTTTAGTTGTGCCCCGTCTCCCTGACAAACGGGGACGGAGATGGGCACAAACAGTTGCAGGCTACCGAGGGGTGCACGACCGCAAGTGATGACGAAACCCTGTGCTCAGTGTACATGCTGTAGAACACGTTTGGGATCGACAGGAGTAACGTTGGGACTTACGGACAAATCGACTTACGAACAGACCTCTGGAACCTAACTCGTTCGTAAGTAGAGGCGTCCGTGTATCGGCTCCGCGCGGAGTAACGACCGTTCAAAGCTGGTGCATATGAAGAACTGCACGGAATGTTGGGAAAAATTGTGCCGTCATCTTGACGGGCAAAAGATATGGTCACTCCCTGTCGTGCCTTTGCTGCCTAAAGTATTTTTTTTGCCCGTATACCATCATGTGTTTTTGCGACGTGAATTATACTTAACGATCGCTGTGTGGCGTAAATTCCCTCATCCATTCATTTGCCGGATAAATGTTTCGGAATTTTTTTTGGCGAATTCAGACCGCAACGACGGCTCGAGGTGGATCGCGACAGCACCCCCCAGCTCTTGCGTACTACGCCACGGGGATCTTTAACGTCACGTGCCAATCTGGGTGGGGGGGGGGGGGGGGATGAGGGGCAGCAGATGTTCCGCCGGGCCATATCACGGGCCCTAACCGTGTATGTCTGTGGCTCTCCGTGTGTGATGCTGTGTGTTTACGTATGTTGAACTTCACTCGCACCGTACCGTGGTGCTAATCGGAGGTGTAAATGTCATGACAACATAATAAACGTTTTTTTGTTGTTGGAGTCACATCGCGCAGATCTGAACGATGTCGTTAAACCCGCCGCCACCCCACACACAGCCCTCGCCAGTAAGGTTTGTCACGTAAACAAAAGCGTGCCCAATCGGTCACCAGTTGAGCACCACCGGTGTGTTTGGAGAGCGAAGGCACAGCATTTGCAATTCGAGTACGACTTGTCGCTGGTGATTACAACCAGCCTCATCAGGCGATTTTGCCAGATCTTTCCCCCTCCTCCCCCACCCAAAAAAAAATCCTTTATTATTGATGATCGGGAAAGCCAACGTGGTAATTATGACCGCGCTAATGGATGATATTACAGCCATGTCTTCAAATCTCCCTCCTTCGCCGTGGCTACCACCACCCCCCCCCCCCCCTTTGTGTACAGTGCAAAGCAGCGAAGGGTTAATTCCCCCTCACTGTGTGCCGTGTGTTCCAGGATGAGGATGGAAGGGGCTTCAACATGTACGGCATGGGCCAGTGCCTTCAGGCGGGCGACGGCATGTCCGTCAAGGGAATCAACGCAGCCAACTCAGCCCCTCCCCCCTCTTCCATCCCACCCAAGGACCCAGACGCCATCAAGAAGAAGTATGTCGACCGGGCCAAGAAAATTGACACAATATCTCGAGCAGCCTTCCCTCTTTCCTTCCTCCTCTTCAATATCTTCTATTGGATTATCTACAAAATATTGCGCCACGAAGACATTCACAAGAGGTAAGGGCCTGCGGCGCGATGCTCGTGACGTTGCGGGGCGCTCTCTCTCTCTCGCTCTCTCTCTCTCTCGCTCTCACTTTCTCCTCTCTCTCTCGTTCTCTCTCTCTCTCTCTCGTTCTCTCTCTCTCTCTCAACTTTCTCTCTCTCTCGTTCTCTCTCTCTCGCTCTCTCTCGTTCTCTCTCTCGCTCTCTCTCTCTCGTTCTGTCTCTCGCTCTCTCTCTCTCGCTCTCACTTTCTCTCTCTCTCTCGTTCTCTCTCTCGCTCTCACTTTCTCTCTCTCTCTCTCGTACTCTCTCTCGTTCTGTCTCTCGTTCTCACTTTCTCTTTCTCTCACTCTCGTTCTCTCTCACTCTCGTTCTCTCTCTCACTCTCGTTCTCTCTCTTTCTCTCGTTCTCTCTCTCTCTCTCTCGTTCTCGCACTCTCTCTCGCTCTCTCTCTCGCTCTCTCGTTCTCGTTCCTCTCTCTCTCTCTCTCGTTCTCTCTCTCTCGTTCTGTCTCTCGTTCTCTCTCTCGTTCTCTTCTCTCGCTCTCGCTCTCCCTCTCATTCTCTCTCGCTCTCGTTCTCTCTCTCGCTCTCGCTCTCTCTCTCGCTCTCGCTCTCTCTCACGTTCTCTCTCGCTCTCGTTCTCTCTCTCGCTCTGTCTCGCTCTCTCTCTCGTTCTCTCTCTCGCTCTCGCTCTCTCTCTCGTTCTCTCTCTCGTTCTCTCTCTCGTTCTCTCTCTCTCGTTCTCTCTCTCGTTCTCTCTCGTTCTCTCTCTCGTTCTCTCTCTCGCTCATCGTTCTCCCTCTTTCTCTCGTTCTCTCTCTCTCTCTCGTGCTCGCACTCTCTCTCGCTCTCTCTCTCGTTCTCTCTCTCTCTCGTCTTCTCTCTCTCGTTCTCTCTCTCGCTCTCGTTCTCTCTCTCTCTCTCGTTCTCGCACTCTCTCTCGCTCTCTCTCTCGTTCTCTCTCTCGCTCTCGCTCTCTCTCTCGTTCTCATCTCTCTCGTTCTCTCTCTCGTTCTCTCTCTCTCTCGTTCTCTCTCTCGTTCTCTCTCTCGCTCGTCGTTCTCTCTCTCGTTCTCTCTCTCTCTTCGTTCTCTCTCTCTCGCTCTCGTTCTCTCTCTCGCTCTCTCTTTCTCTCGCTCTCTCTCTCTCGTTCTCTCTCTCGCTCTCTCTCTCACTCTCATTCTCTCTCTCTCTCGTTCTCATCTCGCTCTCTCTCTCACTCTCATTCTCTCTCTCACTCTCTCTCTCTTCGTTCTCGTTCTCTCACTCTCATTCTCTCTCTCGCTCCCGTTCTCTCTCTCGCTCTCGTTCTCTCCCTCGCTGTCTTTTTTTTGTTACGATCAGAGTAAACAAGAAGATAATCGGTGAAGTCGGCACTTTGCTTCGTTCATCATTTCGTTTTTTGTGTTTTTTTATGCTTTGCTTTATGTAACCCCCCCCCTTTAAATGAAAGACCCAACAAAATATATATTTTTTTAAACTACGACAAGTGCTGCATCTGCAACCCGCCCTTCCCACAGTCAAACGGCCTCCTACGGATAGCTTATTTCTGCATGGAGAGCTCTCCGTTATCTGCCACCGAGCACACGGCCTTTTCCAGCGCCCACTGCTCCTTGAAGGCCAGCAAGACGTGGGTCAGCCACACACGGCGGAACTCCAGCCACACCCTGGCTCCGACCAGAGCGCGGAAGATGCCAGGCTGCTGGCCGGACGTTGCCCCTCCAGGACCACCTTCCTCACCCTGTATATGGCGAGCTTGGCGTAGCCGAAGAGCACGTTCACCAGCCCCTGAAGAAGTTGGGGTCCATCGCCCTTCGGGTGTCCAAAGATGAGGACCATCGGGGAGAAGTGGAAGCTGAACCCTAGGAGGATGTTTCTCAGGACCTTGAACAGCGAGTCCAGGCTCTTGCACTCCACGTATTGGTGCGCCACCAGTCTCCACTTTACCGCAGAAACCGACACTCCAGGGATGTGTCGGTGGAAGCACGTCAGGGCATTGGTGGTGACGGTGCCATGGGCGATGCTCCAGCTGAGGTCACCGATGCGGTTGTACGTCGGGCTGGAGTAGAGTTGCCTCCAGCGAGGCCTCTCCGGAGAGATTCAGGGCAGGGCAGGTCCTTGTGGCTCCTCAGGGTGTCCTGTTGGTGGAACCGCACCATGTAAGAGTAGAGCACCTTCCTCTTTACATTTGCGAAGGCCACCTCCGGCAGGTCTTCCAGCCGGCACAGGTTGTGATCCGCCTTCATTTGTCGGCATTGGCGATGCAGTGGCACGACTGAGAGCTCCGGTGGAGGGGGACCGAGAGGGGCCTCGTCATCCCCAACGCCGATGGGGGGCGTTCTCCCCGCTGCCGCTGAGAAGGCCCCCTTGGCTTCGGCCAGGATCCGGGCAGCCATCCGGAGTGACTGCAGCCCTGTCTTTGCGGCCATGTCTGCTGGTCCGAGCCACCGGCCCCGGGTTTCAGGCTCCACCAGATCTCCCATCCTGGTGAGCCGCGCGTTGGTGAGGCGCCTGGGGTGGCAGTGGTGGATGGCAGCTTTGTCTGTGGGTTCCTGAGGATCGGTTCGAAGACCAGATCCTCGGCCGATCGCGGCTGGTTCAGCCTCCTGACGGCGAGGGAGCTCCATGTCTGCAGGACACTCCTGTAGAAAGGTGGCAGCTGTCCCAGTGGGAGGCCCTGCAGGTCCATGTATAATAGTTGTTTGGAGCACTGCAGACCCCCCAGCTGTTTCAGGAGCAAGGAGGCCATGACGCTCCAGGCCGGTGGCAGGGGCGGCGTGCAGGAACTTTTGCGCGGCCCTGTAGTCGGAAAGTGGCCAGCTGACTCCGCACGCACACCAGCCCGTGACCGCCCTCGTCCAGTGGCAGGGCCAGGACCCCAGCCGCGACCCGGTGTCCTCCACCCGACCAGAAGAAGTCGAGGACTCGCTTCTGAAGTGCGTTGATGAGGCTCATGGGGGGGGGGGGGGTGCAGGGAGAAAAGCCGGTGCCACGGCATGGACGTCACCAGCTTTGTGCTGAAGGTGAGAAACTTGCACAGGCGACTCCAGGTGCCCAGCCGCTCCTTCACCTTCTCCTCCAGCTCGACCCAGTTCCTCTGCGGTGGTTCTTCATCTGGTCCGAGGAACACACCCAGGTAGTGCAGCGATGTTGTGCCCCAATTGATGGCTTTTGCCTTCTCGGGACACTCGGTCATGTCCCACGCTCCAACCAGCAGACCGCTGCACTTTTTCCAGATCATTTTTGATGAGGAGGATTTCGAATAGACCTCCTGGCACTCATGCAGCAGGGCGACATCATCCAGAGAGCGCAGGATGAGGAGGACGTCGTTGGCGTATGCTGTCAGGACCAACTTGACGCTTGGTTCGCTGAGCACCAGGCCGCTGAGTCTCCGCCTTATGAGACTCAGGAAAGGCTCTAATGCCAGGGCATAAAGTTGGCCCAACAATGGGCATCCCTGTCTCACTCCTTGCTCGAATTTGACCGGGGCAGTGAGGGTGCCGTTGATCTTGATCATGCACTCTGCCTTGGTGTAGTGTAGGTGGATCGTTCGGACAAAGGCATCCCCATAACCCAAGGTCTTGAGGGTTGCCAGCAGGTATTTGTTGTCCACTCTGTCAAAAGCCTTTCCTGGTCAAGGGCCAGAAATGCGATTGGGATGCCCAACCTCTGGGACACCGCAATGAGGTCCCTGACCAGGAAGATGCCGTTGTAGATAGTTCGTCCGGGGATGGTGTAGGACTGGTCCCTGTTTACGACTTGTGCAATCACCTCTTTCAGTCGCAGGGAGAGAGCCTTCGTCAATATTTTGTAGTCTGTGTTCAGGAGGGACACCGGACGCCAGTTTTGTAGGTGCCTCAGGTCTCCGTTCTTGGGAAGCAGAGTGAGCAGCACCCTCCTCCAAGACTGAGGCATCACCCTGGTGACAGAAGCTTCCTCCAGCACCTCTCTGTAGTCCTCCTGTAGGGATGGCCAAAAAGCAGCGTAAAACTCCTCTGTTAGGCCGTCTAACCCTGGGGATTTATTTGGGGCCAGTCCTCTTACAGCTGCGTCAAGGTCATGCCTGGTGAGCTTTTGCTCTAGCAGCTCTTTCCCGTCTTCCTCCAGGGTGGGTAGACCATTCCATGCCTCCGCCTGGGCTGCTTCCGATGTTTCTTCAGGGGAGAACAGGCTGCCGTAGAAGTCTCTGATGATGGTCGACTTCTGCTGGAGTTTGTGCACCAGGACACCGTCACCATCAAAGAGGCACTCTATGGATTTACGTCTCCCGTTCTGCCTCCCGAGGGAGTAGAAAAGCGGGGAGCCCGTGTCGAGGTTCGTGATGAGTTTCACCCGGGATCGCACAAACACTCCCCTTGTCTGCTCCTCCTGTAGCTCTTTGAGATGCTTCCTATTCTCCTCGTATCCTCGGAGAAGAGCAGGGTCACTGTCCTCGGCGAGGCGACCCTCCAAATTGAGGACTCGGGCTTCCATGTTGGTGATGTCCGCGTTTTTCAGTCTGGTTCTCCCCCAGGTGTATTGTTGGCACAACAGCCTGGTGTGCACTTTGCCCATATCCCACCACTGGGCCAGAGAGTCGAACTGCGTTTTGGTTTTTTGCCACTCTTCCCAGAAGCCCTCGAACATTTCTATGAAGGCGCCATCCTCCAGCAGCGAGTTGTTAAAGTGCCAGTGGGACGCGCCCTCACGGGCCCTCTCCAGCCTGACACGGAGCACGATGAGGTTGTGGTCCGTGAAGGGTGCCGCCCTGATGCCAGACGTTATGGCGCACGTCACAAAGCTCTTAGAGATGTAAAATATGTCGAGCCTGGACTGCGTCACCGAGCCATCGCGCCTCGTCCTCGTGTACGTGAACTGGCGTGGGCCCAGGTGATGTATGCGCCACACATCCACCAAGGCGGCGTCCTCCAGGAGTCCCTGCATTTCCCTCTTCGGCCCAACTCCCCCCGGCTGTCCCCCCGAACAATCCAGGGCGCCGAGTGTGCAGTTGTGGTCGCCACCCACAATCACGC